TCTCTAACCTTGGAGTTTTCACTGGAACACTAAAACTGTTTTTTTCAGTGAAAGCTTGTTTAGCTCCCAGTTTCTCCTCTGCCATCTTTTCCAGTTTTGGTCCTGGCTCTTTCTTTAAGTTTTATCTAAGTCAAAACTCACACATATAATCTTCCAAACCTATATTTACACCTAAGTGTTGCCATTTTTTACATAGGAAAAAAAAGATACTTGCCTTGGAAAATAACTTATATGATGATAGCCACTGAATAGTTACCTATGAAAATACTAAATTGGTGAATATCTGAAGGATTTTCTGTGGCTTATGGAATTTAGTTTTACAGAAGAGAATTTTACAGCATCAGAAGGGGCTATTTTCCATAGGAGATATGATTAGTTCTGCGACACCTTTGACATGTAGCAGTCAAATGATCAGTTCATCAGGTGAATCCAAATGTACTTTTATTGCACCTTGATAAAGCTTGTAAAATCTGCTTTGTTTTTGAAAAAAAGTAGATATATTTCTATAAATATATGTTTGCAATTAACTTTTGTCATTGAAAATTAATCAATAATAAAACATTTTTTAAAACTTATATTCCATTATGTTCATGGGAAAAGAATACAAAGCCCAAAGTAAAAATTCTTATGCTCTTCAATTATCTCTTATTTCTCTTCTTTTCTTTTTTCTTTTGTTGGTCGTGGGACTTGAACTCTAGGCCTGGACGTTGTCCCTCAGCTCTTCATTTCAAGGCAAGCGCTCTACCGCTTGAACCACAGCACCACTTCCAATTTTCTAGTGATTTATTGAAGATAAGAGTCTCATGGACTTTCCTTCCTGGGCTGACTTTGAACCATGATGCTCAGATCTCAGCCTCCTGCGTAGCTAGGTTAACAGGCATGAGCCACTGGCGCCCGGCTTGGAATGTTTTAAGGATTGGACTGTGATCATATATTTTCTGTTAGACATCTGGAAGAATTTAGAAAATAATTTTCCAACACAACACTAATATTATTATTTTAAGTATAAAATTACTTCTACAGATAATTTTGTGATACAATATGAGAAATCCTACTGAAGATAATTGGACATAAAGGAAAGGCTGGGAAAAAATCATATTAAGTGAAATAAGCCAGACCAAAGAAACATAGGTACCAGGATTTCCCTTATAGAATAATCTTAAAAGATGAGCAGAATAGGTTAATAGCTTTGTACATATGACCATATAAGATGATGCTGAGTGAAATGAGCTCCAAGTCATGGACACATGACTTGTTATTGTTTTTAATATGCTATGTGATTTATATGAAGATCATGGTTCCAAGCCAGCCTGCACAGGAAATTCCATACAATCCATCTCAAATTGACCACAGAAACACCAGAAATGGAGCTGTGTCATATGTGGTAGAGCACTAGGCTTGAGCAAAAAAGCTTAAGGACAATATCCATGCCCTAAGTTCAAGCCCCAGTACCAGCATACACACATACAAAAGAATATATTTATGGTGAGGATATATTTTAGAACTATCAGAATATAATGTAATTATGATTATTAACTGAAACAAAGTAACAATTATACTTAATATGTCTTAAAATACAAGAGTATAGGCTGATAATTTATCAGCAAACTGGAAATGATACTGCCAGAAGATTAAGAAAAGCAAATAAAGTTTTGGAATTGAAATACAGAGTAAAGAAAATGAATTAAGGATAATAGGGCATATTACTGATAATTTATACATAGCTAAAGAGAACCTGGATAAACTATATTGTTCCAAAGAAATTAATCTTTGGCAATTAAATGAGAAAAAGAAAGAGAAGACAATAAATTTGTGACTTCGTAATATAATTTAAAGATATTGTTTAGAATATAAAGTGTTTCATGAATACATGTTAGATAATAAAAAGACAGTCAAATGTTTTACTATTTAGTATATAATTCTAAATAGACTATTTAATATATAATTTTAAATAACCTTTGTATCACAGCACAAATAACAGTGAAATTAAGCTCTAATTTGAAGAGTCTAAAATATAGTCAGATGGCAAGGGGTAATGCAGAGGAAGTTTCTTCTTTAGTACAATGTTAATTGGGAACTGGGATTAGAAGATCCATCATGATAGTGTACATTCACGCTTCCAAATAAGAAAAAAATTAGTGCCACAGAAAACTGTGATTAAAACCCCCAACAAGATTGATAGTACACATCACTACCCTAACACAAACAAAGTTTCTGTACCATGAGAAAGAAACCATGAGTCAGAGGAAAGACTAAGTACTTAGATTAATCACACTTTAAACAAGGCATCTAAAATCAGCTCTATCTTATTTGACTAAAAATGATCTTTGGTAACAGATACATCTCCATATTTGGTTGAATCATTATTATACAATATGAAAAATTAGTTTTGTTTCACAAATGAGAAATACACATATACAATAGATGCATTTATTGAAATATAGTAGATTTTGGGGAGAACACAGTACAATTCATTAGAAAGATAAACACCCCAAACTTAATACTTGAAAGAGGTGAGGTGAGGTCAAGGGGAGAAGGGTAGACGAATAAAGAAAAAAGCAGGAAGAATGTCATAAAAATTGAACATACGTCCTACAAAATTAAGAAAAGTGAGGGAAAGATGAGTTTTTTTTTTAATTTAATTTTTTTTTGTGAACAGAGGGGTTACAATTACATGGGCAGGATAATGCGTACATTTCTTATCAAGCATTGCAGCCTCCTCCTTTGTTTACCCTTCCCATCCCTTCCCTACCTCCCCCCAACCCCCTCACCACCCAATTCTCCCCCCTCCCCCCCTCCCTCCCCACACCATCATTGTAAAGCTCGTTTTCGACATGACCTTGTACTTCTCATTGTTGCAACAGGTCCACATGTATCCTTAAACGACTTGTTTTTCCCCATCTCCTCCACAAGTTATACTGACATCAAATATAGTGAAAGCAGGGGTTATACTGTGGGGGAGGGACATACAAAGCAACAAAGAGATAATCTTATAAATGCATTAGAAACAAATGCATGAAATAAAAAAGCATTAAAACGCATATCTAAGGGTTCATTTTCCTAACATCACATTATCTGACCTTTTCTGCTTGACTCATACATACACTAGATATTGCAAATAAGGGAAACCATGGGACCTATGTTTCTTTGGGCCTGGCTTACTTCACTTAATAAAATTTTTTCCAAGTTTTTGCATTTCCTAACAAATGGGGCAGTGTCATTCTTTCTGATGGAGGCATAGAATTCCATTGTGTATACATACCACATTTTCTTGATCCATTCATCTACTGAGGGGCTTCTGGGTTGGTTCCATATCTTAGCTATGGTAAATAATGCTGCAATAAACATAGTTGTGCTGGTAGCTTTAGTGTGGTCTTGTTTGTAAACATTTGGGTAAATGCCCAAAAGTGGGATTTCTGGGTCATAGGGGAGCTCTATGTGAAGTCTTTTCAGGAACCTCCATACTGCTTTCCAAAGTGGTTGAACAAGTTTACACTCCCACCAACAATGAAGTAAGGTTCCCTTCTGTCCACATCCCCTCCAGCATCTGTTGTTGTTAGAGTTCTTGATTTGTGCCATTCTAACTGGGGTGAGGTGGTATCTCAATGTTGTTTTGATTTGCATTCCTTTTGTGGCTAGGGAGGTTGAGCATTTCTTCATGTGTCTATTGACCATCCTTCTTTCTTCTTCAGAGAAGTTTCTCTTCAAGTCTTTAGCCCACTTATTTATTGGACAGTTGTTTCTTTGAGGATTTGTTGTTGGGGGATTTAATTTTTTGTGTTCCAAGTATATTTTAGATATGAGACCCTTGTCCGTTGTATGGCTAGTGAAGATCTTCTCCCAATCTGTGGGCTTTCTATTGATCTTGCTAGCTATGTCCTTTGCTATGCAGAAGCTCTACAATTTCATGCAATCCCCTCGGCCCAATCTTTCTTTGATTTGTTGAGTTTCTGGATATCTATTAAGAAAATATCCTCCTGTGCCAAGGAGACCTAGGGTTTCTCCTATTCCATCCTGTAATGTTTTCAGATTGTCTGCTTTGACTTCGAGGTCTTTGATCCATTTGGAGTTGATTCTGGTGCAGGGTGATATATAAGGATCTAGCTTTAGTTTTCTAAAGTAACTCACCAATTTTGCCAGCACCATTTACTGAAGAGGCTGTCTTTCTTCCATTCTATTGTTTTAGCTCCCTTATCGAAGATTAGATGGCTATAGGTCTGTAGGTTCATTTCTGGGTTTTCAATTCTATTCCATTGGTCCTGAGGTCTGTTCTTCTGCCAATACCATGCTGTTTTGATTACTATGGCTTTATAGTAGAGTTTGAAATTTGGTATTGATATTCCTCCAGCAGTGTTCTTTCCGTTGAGGAGCGTTTTTGCTATTCGGGGTCTTTTATTGTTCTATATGAACTTTTGGATTGCCTCTTCTATTTCTTTGAAGAATGAGGTTGGAATTTTGATAGGTATCGCATTGAATTTGTAGATAGCCTTGGGAAGTATTGCCATTTTCATGATGTTAATCGGAAAGATGAGTTTTGAAGGATGGATGAAAATGTTGAAAGGGATAACATTGATCAAGGTACATTGTATTCATAAACTGCTTTGTTGAATAATAAATCCTTCGTACAAAATAATTAACATGGCTGGGAAGGTGGCTCATTAGTAGAGTGCTGTCTTTGCATGCATGAGGCCCTGGGTTCTATTCCTCAGCACCACATAAGTAGAAAAAGCCAGAAGTGGCACTATGGCTCAAGGGGTAGGGTGCTAGCCTTGAGCTGAAGACCTTAAGGACAGAGCCCAGGCCCAGATTTCAGGCCCCATGACCAGCAAAAAACAAATAAATAAATAGTAACATAAGCATTGTTGAACACACATATTAATAATTAAAGTTAAAATCCACACATAAGGGTTCTCATCAACTTTCTTTTTTTTTTGTATATTCACCTGAATACTCAGGGAACTTCCACCTATTTTATTTGTTTTCTGTTTTTTTCAAATTCCAATAATATGAAACACTTCATGAATTTGTGTGTCATAATTATGCAGGGGCCAGGCTAATCTTCTCTGTATCATTCCAATTTACTATGTGTGCTAGCCAAAGTGAGCACTCAAATTTCATATATGAGGAATTCTAAATAAGCTTCTTAGTCTTGACTGGAAAAATATCAAAGCATAATACTGGAAAAGCAATTATCTAACAATGTGGTGTTATATGCTCTTGCATTCTTGTGTTTAGGTTAATTACAGATTTATGCAATTTAAAGAAAATTGTACTGTGTTAGCTAGGTCAGTTTATCTTTCAAGTTATTCTTTGGTTTTGATACTAAATGATGTCAGACATCATAGGTATCATTTTAATATATGTAACAGTCAAGAAGCTATAATTTCCTTATCACATGCAATGCAAGATGTAGAAGAAATTTTTAATGTCACATCATCTGTAGAGTACATGTATGTATGTATGTATGTATGTATGTATGTATGTATGTACATGTTTAAATACAACAAGGATTTTGAAATGATTCATTATATTGACCTTATTAACTAAGGAATGTAGTTCTAGTAAAACAGGAGCTATGCATGCCAAATTCTAAAGCAGAGAATGACCATTAATACTTTATTGCGCATCTACATCACCCTCAGTGCTTCCAGAAAATGAGGATTTCTGAGTCATATTCAAGGTTCTAGCTCAGTATCTTTGATGAAATTCCTGAGAATTGTCTTTTTCCAAAATTTTGAGATTATAGTTTCAATACTATTCTACAAACCACATAATCAAACTCATACTGTGAGGTTTTTTTCCTTTTTTTCCTGTAAAGGTGATGAGCAAGGTGTTACAGTTTCATAAGTAAGATAATGAGTATTTCTCCTGATTACCCTCCCCATTTTCCTCCCCCTCAAGTTGTAAAGTTCATTTTCAACATAGTGTTTAGTGAGTATCATTGTTGCATTGATTCATCCTTTGTCCTGCTGGTTCTGTGATTCCCTTTGCCTTCCACGGATCAGAAATGCTTATGTACAAGACAAAAGGTACAGAAAAGTAAAACAGAAAGAAAAAATTAGAAATAACTGCATACAGGACATAAATAGGAACAAACCCAGAAGCCCATCAGTAGATGATTGGATCAAGAAGATGTGGTATATATAGACAATGGAGTTCTATGCTTCCATCAGAAAGATTGGCATTGACCCATTCATAAGGAAATGGAAAGACCTGGAAAAAATTACATTAAGTGAAGCAAGCTATGCCCAAAGAAATATAGGTTTCGTGATTTCCTTCTTTGCAATATCTACAATATGTCCATGATATTCTTAGCTGGAGCTCACAATAGTCCAATCACTAAATACATAGGACCATACATAATGAAGCATAAAATAATGAACTCCAAGAACTGGAAAGAAGGGGTTCTTACTATGAGTTATTTTTTTTTTTTTTTTGTCAGTCGTGGGCCTTGAACTCTGGGCCTGGGCACTGTCTCTCAACTCTTCCGCTCAAGGCAAGCACTCTACCACTTGAGCTACAGCGCCACTCCTGGTTTTCTGGAGATAGGAGTCTCATGGTCTTTCCTACACGGGCTGGCTTTGAACCGCAATCCTCAGATCTCAGCCTCCTGAGTAGCTAGGATTACAGGTGTGAGCCACCAGCGCCTGGCTACTATGAGTTCTTAAAAGGTAACAATATCTGCTATATTACCATTAACCAGTGACTCCAAATCCTGTCTTCACAGTGTGTAAGTGAGAAATGAGGGAGACACATATGTCAATGTGATTGCATGAAGGAATTTTATTCTAAATCTGGTCGTCTGAAGAACTCACACACCAAAGCTAACATGATAAAAATCAGTGTCAATCCATAAATAAAAGATAACACTGGAACTGTTCAAGAATGAGCCTATCCATTTTACTTTATTTCATTAAATTTATTTTTATTGTAAAGGTCAGGTACAGAGAGATTACAATTTCATAGGTCAAGTAATGAGTACATTTCTTTTTGAGTAGTGTCATCTCTTCTATCGTTTTCTCCCAATATTTCCACTCTGAAACTCCCTCTCCCTCAAGTTGTATACTTCATTTTCAACATGGTGTCAAGTGAGTATCTGAATTAGTTTCTTCCTTAGTTTTCCCACACAACAGATAAATTTTGTCTTATAAAAGGAAAGGTGGCCTCGAGGCAAGATACAAGTTCAAACCTACTGTCGCAGAGTGCTGAGAAAATGACTTTTCAATTAATGATTTAATGTAAATTAATTTAAATGACATAAATATTACAGAATCAGGTATTACTATTGGACAAATGGCAATGAAAAGAAACGGGGGAAGATTACAAAAAACAAGTTATTCAGTACAATAATAAACTCCTAAATAAACAGCTACATCTAGTACATAACACTCTTGTGCTCAGGTTATCACTAAATGGAGGTATAATATATTTAAATAATGTTACTTATGAGGATTTAAGGCATTTGCTCACATATATCTGTCTTCATCCTTACAGTATTCTAACCTCCTTTTCATCATATCTTTTCCTAATCCAAAAATGCTATCTTAAATCATTCTACTTGACTTATAAGTGTTATCAATATTATGTGTATACTCCTCCAATATTCATGACATATCTTCTGTGATCCATGCAATCAAATAGATGGTAAGTCATTGAGACTGCTAAATTTTATTCAAAGACATAAGTTTGAATACAGAAAACAGTTTTCTCAGATTTTATTTCCTAATTTACTGATTTATATAGACAATGAAGTTCATGAACACAGACAGCATCACTTTTTATCTATTGTCCTCTTTGTTTTACTGATGACATTAGATAAATAGTGCTTATCAACTGTCTAACTACTGATAAAATGAACTGCTGTGTTTTCTGATAAGAATAATCTCCAGGAAGATTTATTATTTACTTCCAAGTAAAAGATGGTCTTCTTGTAGTTCAATACATTCTAATTTCTAATATGTTATATTTTATATTTAATCAGTAAAACAATACTTGTACACCATTTTAATAATTACCATATAAACAAAAAGTGAGGAAGATTGAAAAAGTTGTTAAAACCTGATAGGGTGTTTAGCTTAAAATCAGTCTGATTATGTTGAGGAATTTATGTGGCTCTGGGTTGAAATCAATTTCTAGACCTTATGGAGGCCTCATCAATTTCTAAAATGATTTATACTTTATAATCTGTTTTGAATTTGTATTGTACCTTATATCTTAGATAATTTTCATTGTGAATCACAGTGTTTGTAAAGAGGAAAATATGAAATTTAAACTCATATAAAAGTACTTGAAAATACAGGTATTAATGGAGGTAGAGCTATGAACCTGCCTTTTTAAACAAATGTTCTTTTAACTCTTTTTGCACAGTCAAGCATTAGAACCACGGCAGTATTTTCCTAAAGCATTCATCTTATGTTAAATTTTATATGTAGTATTTTCTACTTATATCAAATATCTTTTCACTAATATTTAGGAAATATGTAATACACAAATTAATATATCACCATACTAAAAGGAAGGCCATTATACTTTTAACTACTGAATAAAATAAAATTATTAGAAATATGTTTTTGATTTCATAATAATTTGCATGGAATTGCAATATTCCATGTAATGTAATATTACAAAATCAAATGTCTCTAAAACTTCTTGAATTTGAAAATATATGCAAAATATGAGATACAGCTGGGCGCCAGTGGCTCATGTCTGTAATCATAGCTACTCAGAAGGCTGAGATCTGAGGATCACTGTTCAAAGCCAGCCCTGGCAGGAAACTCTGTGAGACTCTTATCTCCAATAAACCACTAGAAACCAATAAACCACTAGAAAACCGGAAGTGGTGCTGTGGCTCAAGCTGTAGAGCACTCGCCTTGAGTTGAAGAGCACAGGGAAAGTGCCTAGGCCCAGAGTTCAAGCCCCATGACCAACAAAAACAACAAAAAAATGTGGTACAAGTTCTTAAGTACACTACTAAATACTGTACAGAGGGGTTACAATTACACGGGCAAGGTAATGAGTACATTTCTTTTTTTTTATTGTAAAGATACTATACAGAGGGTTACAGTTACATGAGTAAGGTAATGAGTACACTTCATATTGAGCATTGTTACCCCCTCCATTGTTTTCCCCCTACCATCCCTGCCCTCCCTACCTTCCCCAAGGTTCTTTTTTTTTTAATTGTGATTAAGTGATTACATAATTTCCCAAATTTCACAGTATTGTGGAATAATGATGCTCATTTAAAGTCACAAGTTCATTCTAACTTTCCTGGAGCAAATTGTCTATCACAGTCTATAACAGATAATGGTGCACACATATACACCATACATGTGATCAGCAGCATGGGGATATTTAGTAGTGGTTCGACCAGATGAGTGGGAGTTCTTTGTTTCTTAAGTCCTGTTAATTTTGTCGTGTCACCTAACATTTTGGATTTAGCATCCACTTATCAGGGAGACCATGTACCGTTTGTCTTTTTGCTCTTGGCTTACCTCGCTCATCATGATTCCTTCTAGCTCCATCCATTTCCCTGCAAATGCCATTATTTTGTCATTTCTAATGGCTGCATAATATTCCATTGTGTATAGATACCACAATTTTTGGATCCGTTCATCTGTGGTAGGGCATCTGGGTTGTTTCCATATCCTAGCTATTGTGAACAGTGCTGCAACAAATATGGAGGTGCACATGTCCTTGTATATTGGTTCCTGTTGTTCAGGGTAGATGCCTAGAAGTGGTATGACTTGGTCGTAAGGGAGGTCAAACTTTAGCTTTCTAAGGATCCTCCAGACTGCTTTCCAAAGTGGTTATATAAGAGTACATTCCCAGCAGCAGTGTAATAGGGTTCCTCTTTCTCCACATCCCCTCCAGCATTTGTCCTTGGCTGATTTGTGGATGTGGGACATTCTGACTGGGGTAAGGTGGTATCTCAGGGTTGTCTTTATTTGCATTTCCTTCACCACCAGGGATGATGAACATTTCCTCATGTGTTTCTTTGCCATTTTTATTTCTTCATCTGAGAAGTCCATCTTTAGTTCCCTTGCCCATTTAGTAATTGGTTTGTTAGGTTTGGGAGAGATTAGCTTCTTGAGTTCCCTGTATATATAA